TGCACGGGTATAATAAGTCTACTAATTTATTACCTGTTTTGGCTAGAAGAGCATGAAGACTTCAGGGGAAAAAAGGAAAGGCAAGAGAGAGAACAACAGAGAAAGATTTACTGATGAATGAACGGCTAGGACTTTGTATTAATAAGCTTACAGATGTTGATTTTTATTAGGTTACTCACACAGAAAGTTTCAAAGTGATTTGGTTTCCCTCTCTGTCCCAAACTCTGTGGAATCAAGATCACTCAGGCTCATCACACATTTACACAATTTTCCTTGATGAAAGGATGAATAGGCCATAGGATCCCAATACTTCAAAGCTCAATTTCTGACTCTTGAAAATACTAAACAGTAATTAACAGCCTTAAGGACTTCTATGAATAAATGTAGGTTTCCAGATTGATTACAATCTATTATGTCATTGCACATGAAATAAAAAAATGGCATTTTGAAAAACAACAAAAAAAAGAGGTCCTCAAGCAGCATTCCAATCATTTTAATCAGATTGCAATCATTTGACCAATTCAGTTATAATTCTTAAATGAATTAAGAAGCATGCAGGGGTCATGTAGGGCAGGACTCATTTGTTTTCAATGAGTTTTCAAAGCTTTAGTTTGTGTTCTTACTTCATTTGCCCTTCAATCTCATAATCTCACTACTAGTTGCCAAACCACCTTCTGCTTTGCGGATTATTCCATTTGGGGTTGTGTTCCCTGTTTTGAGAACTACTGCCTTAATGTTTGCACATAATACTATATCAAGGGATCTTTAATGAAAAAGAAAGCATAAATGTTTACCTTTGGGGTTTACCAAGTCAGACAGAAAACACTTTTAGCACTCTTAAGTATTTCTTGAGCCATGAAGCACACTGTAGATGATCCTCTTGTCTTCAGAAAGTCTTTAAGGCTACAATAAGTGTCCAGTATGTTTGCATAAGAAATCACCCACAGTTCAGTTTTCTTTTAGTTTCAACAACTTCATAACAATTATTCTATTGTGCCATTTGTCTCTTTTTAGAGTATGGACTGTGATTTTCCTGGCTGTCAGGGAATAGTTTCTTTATCTTAATCAAACAGAAGTTTCAGAGGCAAAAGTATTTGGAGTCCCCTTACCACAGGCAAGCCTTAGCACATATTTGCTGTTCTGACCCTACATTTTGTCATTTACCTCTCTGAAATAGGATTATTTTAAATTAATACAGTTCTATAACCAAGATATATTAGTTATTAGTATTGCTTTCATATTTTAAAGCTTTCTGTGGCTTCCTATGTCCATCCAAACATGCTTTATTTTGGATGATCACTGTTCCTTTTTATTCTTTGTGAAAAGTAATAAAGTTATTACTGAAACCTACAGACCAAGATTTTATTACTGTAACCTTTATAAGCTACTGAATTTGAACTCCTATGACAGGAAATGCTGCTTATATTTTCTGTGTGCTGACTAATTTTTGTAATTCAGTCATAAGAAAATTATTATTTCGAAAGGAAGAAGAGCAGTAAACAAATAGCACATTTTAAAAACACTACTATCATATTTAAGCATAAACCCATTAGCTACCTAGGATATGTTTAAAGATAATTATCCACATGTGTGAGATCAAGGCCCAAGTTCATTAATACTCCATTGCTCAGAGCATGGAAAACAAATTACTACCAAATGCAGCTGAGGTTTCCTCCCAAATCTTGTAGTTTGAATGATATAAAGCAATGCTTTTAAGATTAATATATTTCCAGCCTGGCATGGATGCAATGATTTGATATTACCTTTGATATTCTTTGGTTTCTTAGCAGTTCTTAAGACTACTTTTATGTAAAATTTTGTTTATTTAAGAATAACTTGGCTTCTTTTTATAGGCTTTCCTCCTAATATTCAGAATTTGCTATTCTGCATTACACCCTACTAGACTATCATTAATACAAAGATTCTTATTCTAATACAGAATAATTCCATACCAGTTATTGCTATTTTCAAGGTGAACTACTCAATAAATCAAAGCAGTTGGAATTTTACTAACATTTTCATCAACATATGCTGGTAACATCTTCCATGAAAAATGGATTTTTCTCCCTTTTTTAAATTCACCTTGTTTGTCAGCTATTTCCTTCAACTCATCTGAAAAATATTCAAAAACTAACTCTATAAGTTCAGACTCTGGAATTTACTGATTTTTTTTTTTTTTTTTACTCTTTTCCCCTTTGCATTTTGAATGAGTAAACTATTTCTAATATTCTGGAACTGTTTTAGAAAAGAAAAAAGTTAAAATTATTTTCACAACTGAACTTTAAATTAACAGCGTTTTCAGGATGCAAAGTAGAGCTGTTATGAAGAGGATCCAATCTTAGTATCAATATCAGTTGATGTTCCATGCATGATGTTTACAAGAGAAATAACTATTTGTGTACCAGCTTATGCATTCAATTTTGAGCAAATGGAAGGTACAAAGTAGTTTATTTATAAGGCACATTAAAGCCTTTTCCTTTAATTCTCCTGATTATCTTCTTGGTGTATCAAATATTCACAAAAATACCTGATATTTCTTTCTGAATACCAAATAAACATGGCATTTAAGAAGTGAAAATAAAGACTCATAATTTTTCTTAGGGCTTCTTCAGCTCTTTTAATGCCACCAAAAACATACTCCTCTGTTCCAAAAGCATTTCATTTCCTGTTCCAAAAGATTAAAAGATTTATAATTTTTTTTACATTTTTTACATCATATAAAATATTTATTTCAAAATATTTGCTTTGCTAATGTAGAATCTGAAAGACTGCCCTCATATTCTTTTAGACCTAGATATCATCACACCCACCTAATCATATAACCCACCTCAGTATTACCATGGTCATGTGTCTCAATAAACTTCTCATCCCTTACATTTTATCCCTGTTTTAGAATTAGTAAATCTGTATCTATTAACTGTGTATGTCTGGTAGTGAGGATATAAAACTGTCAGCTAGAGGTAAGCGCTATGAAGTAATTATCTGCCATCACTCTTTTCCTGAAATAAACTATAGCTTTCCAGGACTTCTGGAAAGCAGACAGTGACAGAAGATATTGCAAAAATAGGCTGAGTATCCTGCATTACAGCATCAGGTGTTTTTTGTGTTTCCACTTCTTCTGGACTGCCCATCATGCCTGAATGAAATTTACCTTTCCATTCTCGAGCATGGAATTCACCTATTAACGAGTTGTACTAAAAGTAAAATACCTTGGTGACTCTCAAATCATGCTCTGGACTTCAGAAAAAAAAACCCAAAACCTGTTTTAAAGATATTTTTTCATGTAACAAACTGCTTTTGTTCACAGTCTCTCTCAGTCTCACCCAAACCAGTAATAAAGTCTGGGTTATGTCATTTCTAGATTCGTTATGTCAAATCTTTCCATAGGTCTTCACTAGAAACAAATATGTTCTTTGTAGATCTGTAGCCAAAAGAAAACTTGATACATATATCACACATATACATATATAATTTCAAAACACTTACAAGCAGGAACTCAAGACTATATCCCTGTATAGGGGATGGGTATTAAAGCCATTTTAAAATAAGATAGATAACTAGAAGTAGTTTACTTACTTTGCAAAGTGTTTTACTCTATTTAATATTTTTTCCATGCTAATAAATGATGGCTCTGCCTGCAGTGATCTTAGATAAAGATTCTAGCATTTTATTTTTAAAAAAATGGAGGCACTAGTCTGCTGCAATTCTCTTACCACCAAGGATCAGGAACTTCCATTCAGATCTCTTACTGCTCTTATACATGCTAGTTAATGTAAAATGTTTTGGTGCCATGGTCATAAAAATCCACCAAAGATTATAAAAGTTTTCCTTTTTCCCAGCTTTACTTTTCAGCTTTACTAACCAGTGCTATCCACATATGTCTATTTGATCCACTTGAATACTCAACGAATTTTAAAAGGAAAAAAATATAGTTACACTAAAGCAATATTTGCAACGTTACTTTTTACCATGCTAAGGTGCCTCAGAGCTGTTTCCAACAGTTATTCAAATTGTTTTTACTAAAGGAAGCCAGTTCACCCTGGAAAAAATGGGGTTTGATAGTACCAGAAAGAAGACTGAAAATAGTTGTATGCCCCTGTATGTTTTACAAACAAGAGACAAACTAAAATCATATAATAGCAATATTCATATTCTGTTGGCATCAGAAGTCTGTAAAAGCATAAACTGATAGGTATTGATACTCATAGCTCTTAATAAAGCCAGAGAATTTGAAGGGATAATCAAGTGTTTGGTATACCAGAAAAAGACACAAAACTTTAGCCATATTTAACAATTATATATAAACACCTAGTTCAACCAAAAAAAAAAATCAGTTAAGATTACATTTATTCTTCTTTATTAAAATTCCTATTGAATATCTAACTTACTACTTCCTTCACTGCTGACTGAATTAAGAATCTGCAAAACTATATCTGCACTGGAGGCAAGGCAGCCACTCTTCTGGTTGAAAGAACATGTATTCCAGGCAAAACAGTTTATTTTAAATAGTTTTTGTGAGTACAAAGGATGCTGAAGTGGTAACCCTTTTTGCCTCCACTTGAGGCAATTTAGTACTATTACAGACAGACACTGTCTCAACACCTATGTGCTGTGCCTTTCCTGTCCCCTGAATACCAAACACTGTTTTGATGAGGGACGTAAAATACCGCAGAATCACTGACTGAATGTACTTTTACTATTTTTTACCTTTTTCATGCTGCACAAACAAGTTTCAAAGCAGAAAAGCAAAATGGGCCCTGATGTTTTCATGTGCTTCTAAAAAATGTTTACCATTTATTCCTCCCAAATCAAAAAGCTTACATTTTTGCCTATAACTACAGGCTTGTCTGAATTTTGAACAAGAACAGGCAAGAATCTTCAAAAAAATCCTTTTCAAGTAATATTTATTTCCCTTTGATTTTGTTTTAAATGAAGATTCTATCATTAATCATATAAATGGCAAAAGAAGATAATTTGCACATAGAAAAATAATTACATACCTTATATTGGATAAGGAGACCATAAACCAAAATGTTTTTCTTTTTAGTTTCCCTTGCAAATTTCTTGATGCTAGCTAGTTCTTCCATCCCAATGCTGAAAGAATTATTTCCTGATATATCCAAGTACACCTGGAAAGGAACAAATAAGGAAAAAAAAAAATCCATTTTTTCCATAGTATGCCATTCTAGACTGCCAAATTTTAGTTATGTTTTAGTGTTATGTTAAGCACACATAAAAATACAGACTAACAAATGTTTTTCTTAGCTAGCTTCTATTACTGTTGAACTCCATTGCTTATACATTTAGTGACATGAAAATTATTTCTTTTCAAAACACAATGAAACCAGAACACATCAAAACACAATGTAATAACTGCATCTTAAAAATATTCAATTAAATCAGAAAACAAGCAGCATTCTTTTCTAAGTTCTATTCTAACTTTCACAGTTGGTTGTGGTTTGGTTTTTTTTTTTACTATCAGGGTACTACAGAAATACAGGTGTTTTTCTTAAGCCTCTTCAAGGTTTTCAAGAGTTACATTGTTTAAAGTTTTATTTTGAATTTACTATCCTTTCAGTATAGCATATTAGTTGCCTAAATTGGATTAATTTCAAGATAATGCTTCAAGTTTAAAAAGCAGAAACTACTTCAAAAGAAGATAGGGATACGACTTTCCTGAGCTTCTGGTCAGGGAAAGGTAGGTCTCATATCCATCAGGGATACTGCACAAACATGGTGGGTCTTATGGGATCTGAACTAGTATTTCCTGGGAAGTTATCAACTAGTTCAACCCTTTCCCAAGGCTTATGTATTCCATAGTTTAATCAATTTACTTTACAAAGCTTCTATTAACTGTAGAAATCAAATTAAGGATGATGATTTGTACATATAAAGTTTTGGCATCTATTAATAGCAGAAACACCTCTTCCCTAAAACAAGAACATTTTTCTGGCTGAATGATTCCATTGATGTAAAATTTATCTGTGACCACTACACAGAAGTAGAAGTATAGAGGTTGTCCCAGACACCAGCGCTTGGGAAAATTATTTCAAGTTCTCTTTGTACCTTATGTTCAATTTATCCTGACAACAAATAAGTCTTCACCCATCTTTCCTAGCAATACTTTTTAAAAAAAATGTTTATTGTCCAAGTGTGTACTCATCAGAAGCAAAGCTATAGTCTTCTACTACACAGGCAGAAATTAATTTTCACATACTTGCTGTTTTGTTATTTTTTTACCCAAAACAAAGCTAAGTACTGCTCATTTACAGCCATTTACAAGAAATTATAAAACTTATTATTTTAAGAGAACTCAACCTATTTCCTCTACCATTAACCTGTTCCACAGTTTTAAAAAGAGATTTTTCTCAAACTCACTTTTGTACTGAAATGCAAAGTATTCCAACTACAGAGCTGAAGTACCAGCATTCCTTTCTTTCTAACGGTAAGTTATAGCAACAAAATAAAAATCATAGCCATTCTACAAACACGAATATGTATTGCTCAAAAAAGTAATGTCAGTTTAAGAGTATAATTAATTTGGTTATAACAGAGGTGGAGAGGACACTGGCTTGATACAAACAAATAATTGCATGAAATTTACTTCTGGGCTTCCTATTTCTCCTGTAATATTAATCTTTCCTTTTGTCCAAATACAGCAGTACAATTGCTGCTTCAGCTTACAGATGCCTCAAAATAATCCAGTCTGACACCAAGATAAAGGACAGACTTTGAAATCTGTGGCAATTGACAGGTGGGAATATGGACAGAAGCCATCATGTCCAGCACAAGCCCATCCTTTTACTGGGACAAGGTTCTCCAGGCCAGTTAAACAGACAATCTGGCACAATAATAACACCTGTCATTTTTACAACTAAAAAAGCTGACTATTGGAAGGAAAAATAAAACTTTTTCTCTTAATTATCAGATTGTTATGAAAAAGTGACTTGTGTTGCAAAATCAAAGGACAGACAAGAACTTTCCAATTACACACAAGTCTACATTAGACTGTTCCTAATTATGAGTTTAGAATTGAAGCAGTTAGCTGCTCTCGTCATTTATGCTTTCAATTCTTCACTACCAGAAAGAGTTTTACTTTTGAGACTAGAAATGCATAATGTTTCCCTTCCAGCTGGTACCTAAGACCTATGCATTTAATTGTCACTGTATTGCTTAAAATTCTGATTCGCATTTGTCTGAGAACTATTAATATGCCCTTTTATGTCAAAAGAAAGTATCTTATAGGAGTTTTCACGAACAATTCTTTCAGGCTACATGTTAAGCAAAGTATATAGGAAAGAATAAAACAGAGGAAAATCCCACTCATGAGCCTTAGTGAAGAGGACACACAACATTGACTTTAATTAAAAACCACTGAGAGAAATTTTTGTCCCCCATACCATCTGTAATGAGTTTTAGGGATCAGAAGTTTAAAGGACTTCAATGCTTCCTAGTGATTAATATGAGATAATGATTCGCTTAACTAATTCTTTAGTAATTTAAAACATAACTTCCAGATTTGCTATTTATTCCTTCTTGTATTTCTAAAAGATAGTGTGGTACTTCCATCAAATGAAAGTGTAGCACCACTTTGCAATTAGGGTATATCATTTTTAAAAAATACCTTTAACAAATATATGTGTCTCTATGTTTTAAATGTCAGCAACTGTTTCCACCTCATTATGAGACTTTCATCCGCTGTCTAGTTCTGGGAAATTTCAAGTAGTTGCTGGATCTGGGGTATAGGAAGCAGTTTAAATGTATAATTTTCTCCTAAGGCTATTTTCGAAGGAGTTCACCTGAACAATTTGTGCATGCAGAAGGCTGCTCAAGCAAGTACACTTTCATTAAAAATAGTGCTGGGTTCTACAATGATTTGAAGGTGTAGTATCTCAGGGGCAAACCCCAAGTTTCACAGTGAAGCATTATTTGCATTCATACTTGCTTCTTAGTAGATTTTAAGACCAGAATATTTATAGTTACAATATTAAGTTCTCACATTCTGTGCGTCACACTAAAAAACATATTTAATTCAAAGTCCTGGCCAGAAAACAGCTAAGAATTGGGTACAAAATAAGCATGCTTTTAACACCATAGCTGGTTGATGAACAGTTTCAACTATATCTGCACACCCCCAAAATTTAACATAGACAGAAATGGTTTTTTACATTCTTGATATAAAAGACTAATGAAAACATTCTCAGTCCAGAAAAAAGCATTTTTCACATCCAGTAGCCTTGTAAATGGGTAACTGAACGGGAGGCTGCCCAGGAAAATGGTTGAGTCGCCAGCCCTGGAGGTATTTAAAAGATGCATAGATGTGGCACTCGGGGACGTGGTTTAGTGCTGGACTTGGCAGCACTGGGTTAATAGTTGGACTTGATCTTAGAAGTCTTTTCCAAACTAATTTTGTGATTCAATGCAACTTTTTTCCTTTGTAAAAGTAATTAATCTTCATGATATCTCGTTCAGTTGTAAGTTCAGTAATGAAATTTCATCATTTAAATTTCAGTTTAAGCTAAAATTCCAAAGTAAATGCTCAGTTTTACTCCCAGGTCACTACACTGTGGACTTAAGTAACTATTCAGGACCCATGAAAAATATTTCTTTTGCAAAAGCTTCATGTATGGAACTATACTTTAAAATCACAACATATTATCTTGTGTTATTGCTGGAGAGTGTAATAAATGAAGTCCAGAGGCACACTCTTTGTGACAGATAGCATTAATGACTTTCATTCCACCCAATACTTCTCATCCCTACCTATTAAGCCAGAAAAAAAAATGACAGAATTAATTGGAGCTGGTTACACTGCATGGAGACTTTCAAATCTACTCATATTTTCTGCTTTTTAACAGTCCGAATAAAAGTCATGTACACTTCAGCTGTCATTTGCATAAACTGGTAAATTATTCTGGCATTCATTTCAAATATTAAGATTCATTATTATTCTGGCATTCATTTTGAACAATGAAAAATTCAGCAAAAAGTACACTTTAAAACTTTTGCCATATACCGGAACAGACTTTTCAGTCTTACAACACCTCAGTAAGTAAAGTATGTACTAGTTACATTGCAAAGTACTTCAAAGTCAATTTTTAAGACTTGGATCAGAAAAGCAACAATAATTTTAAAACTTTGAATAAACTACATAGCATAGAAAAAAACAAAGCCACTTAATTCTGTTTCATCTCAGGATTTAAGCACAACACATGATTTGCAGCATCCCCAGCAGAGATGGAGCCCAACAGTAAGGCAGGAGTTAATAGTTCAGTACAACCAGCCAGCCACAATGAGTCTTTCATAGAAATATATAACTAATAAATTGTCATTTGCGAGTGTCAGTTTATGTCTTCACAGCATGCACTTGTTGAAGTGCAAATGAGGCTCTTTAGAGTCCAATTTACAGCTAGAATTTACAATTTTATTCTGAGCTAGCAGCAGTTTAAGCTTAGTCTAACATTTAAAAAATCTCATGAGATGCTTTCTACAGTAACTTACAGGAGTTACCTACCGAAATAAGGACAACTGGATGTAAGAGAGGAATATCTGATTTTTCCAACATATGCACTAGTTGCTGAGTTTCTTGAATGGCACACTTTTTATCCTAAATGAAAATAAATGTCTAGAATTATGGAAGACATCAAAACTATATAAAAACTATCATTAAAAGCTATAAAAATAGAATTCAAAGATCTGTCATTTACGAAAAAAAAAATCACCACCACCAACATAAAAACAAAACAAAAGAAAACAAAACAACAAAAAAAGCCCCCAACACATCACTTTTTTTGTTTTGGGGGTTTTGAGTTGGTTAGCTGCTTGGTTTTAATATACAAATGTAATGGTATTGTTTGGTAAAGTTATAGCTGTTTCTGTTTGAAAAAAATGGAGACTAATAATATTACCCTTAAGAAATATCTATACATAAAACAAGATTAAGGGTCTTGATTGGTCTTAGATATGGTTCATCTATGGTTCATGGGAACCTTCCTGTTCCCATACTGTGACCCAAATACAGATTGCATGGCATGCATATGTCCAGAATGGGAAACACTAATTTAGACCATGGTGGCAATGCACAGTTAGATGATTACGCATATGACAGACTTTCCTTGAGAAAATTCACTTCAATACAACATCTACAAAAGGGAATCTTCAACCACTTTCAGTTTCATCCCTCTTGTTCAAGAATTCATGGCTGGTTTAACAACATAATTATGCTCAGAAGTCCAGTTTGGTGCGCATCAGAAACATCAACTTTAGAATGGATACAGCATGAGGACAGAAATAATAAACAACTTACTATTCAGATACTTTATATTTACCATTACTAACAAGTTTAAGTGCAAAAGTAAAAGCATGCATCCTTACTACTTACATTTACACAAACAAAATTGTAGCACTGTCCTGAAAAGATGCTTTGTAGATGGCTATCATTTCTGCTTTGAGATATTGATACAGTTTCAACCTGATGAGACAAAAAAAGTCACAAATTTTACTTCAGCCTTAACTCTCTGTTAAAGCTTCCACTATTATGGCAGTTTGTTCATTCAACTTATTTTAAAATGGCAATTATTATTTCCACTACAAGAATTGAAATTTGCTCAGATTTTTAGACGACTCAACAGTGAAGCATGGAGCCCAACCTGTGCTGAAGCATTCTGCTAGGGAAACAGCAGAAACAGCCCTGGAAGCATCAGACACAAGTGCTGCTGCCCAGTTTAGGATGTTCAACTGCCACAGGATCAAGATGATCTAATGATTTTAGATCTCTAATTCTGAGAAAAATCTCTACAATATTCAAATATCTAGGTATTTTGTCTTCATGAAGCTAAAAATAAAAAACATTAAGTATGCATGAAAGACCAGGTGTACTGGTATTGGTATTCTAGGATACAACAAGACTCATCTAGAGTTTCTTCTGAAAATATTTCCTCAATGAATACTCTAAAATACTGTATTAATCTTATTTTGCAACCTATGACACAAGCTAAGAAACTATCTTATTCTAGTTAAAATAAAATGGAGATTCTACTACATTATCAGCTTCAGGCGTGCCTTAAGTGAAAAAGCAAACCAGGTAGTAGAGGGGGAATATGTTCCCCAATAGGAAATAACACTTTGAAGTAAATAAAAAAATCTTTAAAATAAGGCAAAAAAACCCCAACTTCATATTGCTTTTATCAAAGCAGCAAACCCCTCATTCCACTGCTCAACTGAGCTTTATTTCTGGCCAAAAGACAGATTATACATCACAGAAAATGACAGAAACAATACACTGCTGTATTCCCTCGAAATGTCACTTAATCCACAATCCAACAGAAGTACCAAACACAACATTTAAAATGGCTTTGCAATATTATCCAAAGCTGTATTTGTTTATTTTTTTAATACTCAGGGAGTTAACTTTTTGCAAAGGAAGGTGGTTTAAAACCCAGAAGTTGATATTTATGTTCTAAGGATTTCAGAAACATTTTGGGTTGAAATTTTGATAACATAGCCCCAGATAGCTGACATTTAATATTTTAAAAAATTCACAGAAAGTATGAATTACTTAAAAATAATTGAAAAATGCAATACTCCAGGGCTCTCCTGGCTTGAACCTCTGCAGATGTAAAATCAGAAATTCCTGGTACCTTTACAACCTTGCATATACTTTGAGGAACAGGAGCACACTGCCTGCCAGAGTCTTTTCAGAAGGTATTTGGAACATGACCCAAGGCAGAAGGCCTACTTTTATTTTTTCCCTTGAGATATTATAATACAGGACGCTTAAGTATTTCTGAACATTTAAAAATTCATATAGTGTATCAGAATTTTGATTTAACTTCACAATTTGATAAAGTAGCAAACGAAGCATTTTTTTACAGCCATATTTTTCAGAAAAAAATAAATCAAATTCCTCTGTTGGAAAAGAAAGCACAGCTGCCTAATTAGAAGCTTCAATAAATAATAAATTAACTAAAACTAATTCTTATTCTATCTGGCATGTTAGTATCCTATGCAAAAGTACTTTTTAAAATTAAAATTAATATTTTTATCAACTACTTGAGAGAGCAAAAATTACCTAAAAATACCACTTTGGTAAAAAGTGATTGTCACATAGCGTTTCAGTGTTTAAACAGAAAAGAGCATATGGATTTGCTTAATTACTTCTGGTCCTTGTACGAATTGATATTCAGCTAGTTCAAGAAGCAACGATGTCAAGAACATGAAAACAGGAATTATAAATATGTTTTCTTTAATGTTTCTTTTACTTATCAGATGCCCTGTGCTGAAGTTTCAACTTTATTCATCATCCACTTTTATAAAATCTAAAATTTATCCCAAGACATTGGGAAGCTGTAAAAGTTATTTAAATTATATCAGAATTTAAAATTACAATTAATACCAATCCAGCAGATAGACAATGCAATCATTAAGAAATTAGTGAATTTCTACTGGTGAAATGCTAGTTCATTTCCTACTTGAAAACAACCAGATATTTTTATATGCTGCTTGTGGATATTTATCCATTCACAAAAATAACACACAACTTTATCCAGTTGATTGCATTTCATGTGACAGCAGCACCTTGTCACTGAAAAAGCAGGAGTAATTTCCAGTCACAGAAGAAAACACCTTCAGCCCCCATTTAGGTTTGTCTGCTTCAAAAGAAAGGGTTAAATAACAACCTTAAGGAAAGATTCAACTTATGTCTTTCAAAGTAACATATCTTGAGCAAAACATTCATTCCTTAGTTATACTGCTTAGAGTAACAGTGATTAAAATACTCTTAAAGTACTTTGCAAGCAATAACTCTTGCCTAAAAAAATTTTTTTAGAAAAGTTTTTATTTTCATTTTCTTTATCAGTTCTATTTTTAGGTCTTTTTTCCCCCTGCTGTTGGCATTATCATGTTATTAGAGTCTCTCTCAGAAATCCCTCAAACAAAATTTCTTTTAAATTCTTCTTTAATGATACATATAGGAGTCAAGAAATATCAAAAAAGGAAAAAGGTAGTTAAATGACAGTAGAAAATTCCATCAGTATCCTAAAGCAAAGTGCATTCACTGTGAGTGAAATGTACCCCTAGGACTCAAAAAAACTGATTAACTAGATTTTGCACTTGCAGCTCCGCAGGAAAACAACTTACTCTTTAATTGGTTCAGACTTTAACTTCAAAGTATCAAAAGCATTTCCTCTTTAACATATTTGTAACAATTTGGGCTTACTGAATTTATAAAATCTAAAGAAAATGGCCTCTCTGTCGTCTGGATTCAATTTCTCCTCTAATCTAATATATACATTTTAAGTGCATCTGTAAGATCCCCTTCTACTGCCTAACTGGGCAGAAGATGCTTCTTTCTTGGTAATTTCCACACCTGGTGTCAATCCTGTGTAATAAATACCATGGTGACACAGGAAGTCTCAGTGTCTGTATTCACATTATTTAGACCATTTCTTATGAGTAGTGGCAACCAGAAACACTAAATTAGTCATACAGTTGAAAGCCATAGAGATGCACTTACTTTTATTTGTCTTTTCAGAGATTCAGGAAGGAGAAAACCAACTTGTGCAACAGTTTCATTTGCATCGGTAATAACACAAACTTCTTGTGAAAGGTTGTCTGTGATTGAGAAAAAAACCTTAGTATTTCATGCAAAAATAAATCAATCAAAGTTACCAATCTGCAAAACATTACCTTCAATCCATACTGCTGTCTCTCGACAGAACCTTTTCAACAGCTGTAAATTTAAAGACTACTTATTTCAAGGCACAGTTAATCTAACTACATCATTTGTATAACATAAATTTCAAATATAAAATTCAGTTTATATTTTTTATGATTTTCTGCAATGTGAAATCATCTCATGAGGCCTGTCCCCAAAGCCCATTTAAATAAGGGATTCCTTTTACAAGATATTTTTCAGGTCCACATTAATGACACTAGATGACAATCAAGAAAATGTTTTTAAAAGTTCATATGACATATCACTTCAACAGATCACTGAATGCAGTATCAGCAATACTGAGAAAAGAAAAGAAAAAAAAAAAGAAAAAAAACAGGGTATAGCATAAATCTGCTTCCCAACAATATGCACTACAAAATCGCCCCCAAAAAGGATATTGAAAATACTGTTCAGGGAGACAGCAAATATAAATATTCACTGCAACATCAAAGAAGTTGAAGAGTCACTGACAAAGATCATGGAATGGGCAATTTCCTAGATGTTTTACTGGTGCGGGAAAATATAGTATTTTGTTGCTACCAAGTTTCAAGTTACTGCCTGATCTGTTCCATAAAGCCCACAGTTCAGAAAATTAGTATTTTCTCTAGTTATTTATTAGAGGTATTAGATTTGGTGAGCATTTTCCTTTCTTTAAGCAAATAAATCAAAATAATTCAAGTCTGAAATTCTCAGCTGTAATGCAGAAATTTATCCTTTAGATGTTGAATTACTATGCAGAGCAAAATATAGGATTTCTAATATTTTTGGGGTAGCCATTGCATAATTAAAGAGAAATTTCACAAATGTAAAGTCTAATTACATTTAAAACAGACTTCAATGAAAATTCAGGGACAGAAATATACCAAACACCACCACAAAATAAATTAGTAGTGAAAGACATAAGAGAAATTATAAAAATATGGTCTAACTGCTCTTCAAACAAGTCTGAATATAAGGATACATATTTTTTGCATGTGGAAAGTTTTTTTATAATTACATACCACACAGTAAGTTCATTCAGATGCATTCCTTAAGTAAACAACTCACTTTCTACTGTAAACTCAAAGACTTCTTTACAAAAATAGACATAAAGACCTGAAAATTAATTTTAAAGCTGTTGTAGAGTTAACATTATTGGAAAGTGTCTTGTAACTTTCAAACAATTTTCTGTGAGTAGGAAGAGTAAATTAACTGCTGAGAATCACAAAGAATAATTAGAATGATTTTTTTAATCATGCGTATTTATTATGTCCAATATTTATAATGTGACAACAAAAACAGTGGTAGCAACTGACTTCATATTCAGTTAGCAAGAATGGGGAGGGAGGAAGAAAGAGAGAGAACAATGAACATCTGCTTATAAACCATCACAACCAGATGAAAGTGAGAATTAAAAACAATGCATGGCCAGTTCTCACAGGACTGGAAATCACAGGATACCACAACTGCAGGAGAAATTATCTTCCCATAGATTCACTAGGCAAAAAAATATATTGAACATGCATCACAGTTGTCTTCTACTTAATACAGAATAATTTTACCATCTGAAAAATGGTTCAACAGGAAACCATATTGAATTAATTTCTTATCACCAGAAAGAAACCAGTGGGTAGATTTAAATCAGAGCAAGAGTCACTTGAATTTAGTACTGTACATGGAATGCAGATACAAGATAGATATACATAATAAACCAGACTGGCATATCAGATTTCAAGAACTCAGATTCTATTGAACTAAGTAATTTAATGAAGAAGGTCAGGTTGGAACTATTACAAAAATGCACATGTGGAAGAAGGCTGTGGAACCCCAAAAAGCACCATAACTTAGGTTCAGACAGTTCTTTTAAAAAGAAGCCTGTAATCAACAGTAAGTGTCAAAAGTAATCTCACAAGAGGTTGCTCAAAGACTGCAGCTATAAAGACCCATCTCACTCCTCTCTCCAGCCCTCTTAGACCTCTAACTTCCTGCAACAAATAAGAGAGGCAATTACCAAAAAAGTGACTAAGATATGCAGGTTGGATTTAATAAAGAGGAGAGAAAATTCAATGAAGTGTGGAAAAATGTATTTTTAGTCTGGAGAAGGAATGTAATGTTCTAAGGGGAAAGTCTATTAATAAAGTAGGAGAACATTAAAATAATGATAATACACAAATTGAAAAGATACTGCATGCTTTTAAATGATCAAGGAAGCGTATAAAGGAAGGCTAGGAAATCATCATGTATAAAGTCAGCATAGCAAAGCAACAGCTATGTTCTAGTTGAGGTTTGAAACTCATTTTCCATTTAAGTCCAAACTGTTTCAAGTGGTCAAAGACCTCTGTGTTAATTTAGACAGTTTGCACCTTTACTGCATTGTGGAAAGGAAGACCAAGTGGAGCCTTCCTCCCCAAGACTGCCTGTGTCCCACCACTGGTAAGTTGATGGAGCTCCGTGGCTCAATGTAATCATGCTGAACACAGCAAGCACATCTGGAGTGCTGGCTGGTAACTCCATGAATTCCATGAATTCTGCTGCCAGCCAGTAAATCTAACTGCATGTAGCATTTCATTCCTGGTTTTCAGAATTCTGTTTGAGTGAATGAAACAGCCATTCTGGAAAGTCACATCATGGCCATGTCACAAAGAATTTTAATACTCAGCTAAAACCATTTTGTTTTCCATCAGACCATAGATAATTGAGGCTGGAAGGGACCTCAGAAGGTCTCTAGTCCAAACTCCTTCTCAAAGCAGAATCTACCCATGAGGTTAGGCCTGGTCACTCAGCCCCCTGCCCCTCTCACACTTGAAAACCTTCAGAGACTGCACAATGTCTCCAGGCAACCTGTTCATTGCTTAATTGTCCTCATGGCGGAAGAGTTTTTCCTTTTTCTTGAGTTGGAACTTCACTTGGTTCAGTTTTTGTCTATTACCTCTTGTCCCTCTACAATGCACCACTGTTCTACTTCACTTCCCTACTTTCTGCCATAACTTCCTTTTCATCCACCAAACAATTTTTTTGCTCTTTTCTCACTATTGCATTACATATCAAACTCTCTATCTTGCTTTGGCTTCCTTGTCCTCAACTTAGTTTAAACCTATTATTTCCCTGGAAACCTCCTCTTCCAATACTCCCCTCCCATTAACTCTCAGCTTCTTTCCAGATGTACCCTATTATGGAGTAATGCTCCCCATTCACATGTATCACATTTGATCTCATCCATCACTTTTAACATCCACTCAGAGTAAATTTTTTGCATAATATAAAAAATAGTTAAAACCCTGCACTGCCAAATTTAAACACTTAATTTCCCTATCAGGAATTTTTTTTCATTAAAGCTAAATTTGATAGAGAATTTCAGAACGTGTTCCACTACACTTCCCTTTCTTTTTTTCCTCCATCAGAAAAATTCATTTTCAAGTTTTCCATGCCCCTCTTCGATATCTTGAAAGCTTTAGATCACATTATTATTTGGCAACACCTGCCACAGTCTTTATCCTAGGATCCTACCCAATTATAAATTAACTTGTGTGCATGTTTATGGAACTAACTACCTTAGTTAGATAGTGTATTAAGTGTACTGTAATGAAAGACTTAAAGGTTTACCCTGAAAAGCATGCCACAAACAAGCAGCAATTAAAATAATACTTTGTTTCAATAAAGATCATAAGTATCATATCCTAGGGAATTAAAGCCATAAGAAAAAAAAATGCATCTGAATAATAAATAGGTTTTAGCCTACAAACATAATTTTTTTCTCTTAATTGCACATAGGTGTGTATACATACACTTGTTTTTGCATACATATGCTCATTCCACATCATTCTTGGTCTGCCATTACAATTCGTATTATTTTGGAAGCACATCCTATTTATCAAAATTTTGAAGTTCGCAATGAATTCAAAGAAATAAATTAATTTACCAGAATTCTATTTTCACTTTCTACATAGCAATGGCTTGACTGGTCTGGAAATCCAATATGGTTCCCCCTGGCATCCTTAGAAACATCTTTGTTATGAGATGCTACCACTGTAAACCCAAGAAAAATGAAATAAGTACTGCTGAGCATTTAGTTCATTCATGCTCAACAGAATGAGTTTAAACTGTTATCCAAACAACATAGGTAACCAAAAATATCTAACAATTTTTTTTTACCCATTCCACATGTTTCTGTAGCCTTGAAAACTAAATGTCAAACTTGACGCTGCCTCTACCAATATTTGTATACAAGAAAGAAAGGAAGATTTTGTGGTAGAAGACAAGAAAGGGGGTTATTTCCTCCTGACAGTAACTATTCCAAGGAACATTTCCCCACCTGACAGTCTATTTCTTTGCCTCACAGCAGAGAACAGCCACCAGTTCATGAGCATGCCCACGAAAATGCAGTTTACCTCGTGTAAGAACTCTGTCCTTTGATAAACAATGCTTATCTCAATTTTTATTTTTATAAAAAGTCACATAGTTTCTTCACAGAACCCAAATCATAATATGTAGTTCTCAAGAGCTATAAACAGTTTGAAGGCATTAAGATATTTTTCTTGGCACTTGCAAAAACATAATTGTACCTACATCAACAGACACTTCTTTAGCCACATGTGAGGGCAAAATATCCAATCTGTAAGTGAAGTCTCTTGTGAAAAAGTCATTGAAAAAGAAAGGCCCTTAAGAAAAGGAGAAGGAGAGTGAGTCAAACTGTAAGTTATAAACTTCTACTGAGAAGCATCATTTAAAGTTTACATGTTGGAACTAGAGTTCAAAGATACCTACCCTGAGGGCAGTAGTCCTAATGGAATTTTTTTAGGATGTTTTGTATTAACCTGATCTTAACTACCTTTCTAGATGAGTCATGCTTATTGTAAGACAATGTTTTCTTACTTCAAGACTATTAAAAATAGGCGTGTGCCACCTTGTCTGCATACTCTACAAGTTTATACCTGCTTAACTAAATAAAAGTATTACATTTGCTGTTTATAAAACAAAGGATGTTAGGATTCAGACTTTCACAATGCAGTTATAAAAAAGACTTGAGGAAGTTAACAAATTATTAAGAAACGTTTTAAGAAAACAGTTTCAAAAGAAAAATAACTCATTAGTCTATTTACATTAGTGAAATGTTTCTTTGTATTGCCTTAAATAAGAATGATATATATAAATATCTAAAGTACAAAAATGTATTTAGGTATGTATGTTTTTCTTATTTCCATCTGAGTCAAGTTTAGCAAGCTCAAAGTTGTTGAACTGTTGAAGGAAACCAAAAGTTTCAATGACTAATAAATATGAACTGTAGATTACATGAAATTTGGAATTGTAGTCAAAAAATTAAATGTGTACACTCTAAATGTGTTCTTCATCGCTACTGAATTCATCCAGTGATAAAATGTGCATCCAGCACAGTAAATTGGGTAACTTAGTAAGAAAGAAATCAGTTGTGAAGACTGCAACAGTAGTGTGGATCTGGTGTGAGGCCAGAGCCCTTTGCACCCTACACCCTCCTAGCCCACACATTTAGCTTCTGGGACATCTCTCGAGAACCTTGGGAGCAGGCAAGGTGGTCTTCCAAGACCTGGTACTTTGAACTCAGCTTCACAGAGTCATGCAGGACTTCTCCTTCAGGCTCTCTACATGGCACAAAAGGGGAATGACAAGTAGGAGTGCATCATTTACAAGAGCATGTAGTGATAGAACAAGTGGGAATGGCTTCAAACCTGAGAGTAGGTTTACATTATATACTAAAAAGAAATTCTTTACTGTGAGGGTGTTGAGGCACTGAAACAGGTTGCCTGGAGAAGTTGTGGATGATGCCACAGCCACATGGGGGTACATCAGAATGATGCTCAAAAGGACCAAAAATACGTTGTCCCCCTAAAAATGCTTTAAGTGGGGCATGAACTGTGAATAAAGCACCTGTCTAATATTATTTGCATGGTTCAACTGCCCACTACCAAAATAAGTCATGTTATAACCACGTGAAGATCTGGTATTTGAAGTCTTTTAAAGGGCACAAAATAGATAAGGCACAATTCTCAAACTGCAGTCTTGGAGTACTAACAGTGCCATTTCAAAACCCCATTAAAGATAACTAATTATGTAACATAACTCTGTTATGCAGTGTCCTAATATGCAAGCAGTATAATGAGTCCTCTGTAGCAAAAGGAGAAAACATGTGCAGCTTCTCCTGCAATGCAATGCAGCAAGAAGCAAGTCTAAACTTCAGTGATCTTAAAGTACAGTTTTTCACAGACACCAGGCATAATAGAACTACTGTGGTAAGCAGTATATACTGCATGCTGCTACAACAACAGAACACTGGATAAGTAGAGATCAAGTAAGGGATTAGCCTGATTGGCCACCATGAAGGTCTTCATTTTTACTTTAAACTACACAAACTTTTTATTATAACCATCAGTTGGAAAAGACTGTACTGGCTTCAGGGAAAACAAAAAATGTGATAACATGATGAAATACACATATAAAATATGTATCTATGAAGAGAATGTCTGGTCATTTACAGCATTTTTTCTCCAGAAAGAGTTAGTGAATGTTCCTTTCATTCAAATAAGCTGCATTCTCATTTTCTACACAAGCAGTTTTAAAAAACCTGCTTGGAATATATCTTAATTTTAAAATAAATTATAACTAATCTCCTTTAATGACCTGTGAGATTACTGAAGACTTTGTGTATACAGAAACATGGAAATTCACTTGTTGTTTCAAATTTATAATTTTTTTAACACCACTGAGAAAGGGTCTGGCTTCATCTTCTTCACTCTGCCCCATCTCATATTTGTACATGTTGGTTACGATCCCCCTGAGCCTTCTCTTCTCCAGATAGAGCAGTCCATGCTCTCACAGCATCTCCTCATATGACAGACATTCCACTACCTTAATCATCATGATGGCCCTTTGCACGACTGTCTCCAGAATGACCATGTCTTTCCTGATGGGGGAACCCAACACTCCAGATGTGACCTCACCAGTGCTGAGCAGTGGGGAAGGATCAGCTTCCTCAACCTGCTGGTCATGCTCTGCTCTACTGTAGCCCAGGGAGCTGTTGGCCTTCTTTGCCCCAGGAGCACACTGCCAGCCAGTTTCAATTCATGTCCACTTTTCTGGTCTGTACTTCATCAGTTTGTCAATGAGAATGTCATGGGAGATAGTGTCAAAAGCCTTGCTGAAATCAAGACAAACCATATCCACTGCTCTCCAATTATTTCTACATTTCATTGCAGAAGGTTTGTCAGGCATAATTTCTGCTTTGTAAATTCGTGTAAACTAATCCTAGTCACCTTCTTGTCTTCGATATGTTCGGAAATCCTGAGCTTGAAAGCTAAGAGTGTGGAACCTCTAACAATCCTACACAAAACAACATTTTCAAAAATTCCAGGCTTCCGGTTATGAAGATAGAAGCTCTTCCTTTCTTGTCAGAACCAGAACTTCCAAGGCTTCCCAGCCCTGTCTTCTTTTGTGCCTAAAAAATTCAGTCAGGTAGTTCTAACAATGCATATAATATGTAGTCTTTGACCACTGTAATAACCAGAAGCTTTAAACTTGTTGCATACCTGGAGGTCTAGATAAGCACCTTAAGAGAATACCACAGCAATGTCTGAGCTCAGTTTAGGTTTTCTAGTTTGTCTATAGTGACAGAGTTGATCTCAGCATGGTATAATTTACCCAAATCAGAAGCTAAGCTTGTAACAACAGATGAGACACCGAAGCAAACGTCCTAACAGTACACAGGTTTTCCTCTAGTTTTCTTAAATATGAACTACATTCTTTTCTCTGGAAAGGTATTTTTAATCCCAAGGTAAGTGCCTTTCTCTTCATCAGTTTCTGCGGTTTTATCCCTCAGTTCTCAACAAAGAGTCAGGCAAGAGTCCCTTGAATCACTGCCTATCAGTTGACAATAACCATCGGTGTGCTCGTTATACATGCAGTACTCGACAATTCTTCCTTTCTATACTGACTCACTCTAAAAACAATCTAGATAAAGGCTAAATCCAGTCTTTATGTTAAACTGCTATGAAACCACTGTTACCAGTACAAAAAAAAGGTTAAAAACCAGTTCAACAAAATACTTATAGATTAATAAAATACCTTAACATCATGTAGTTGCTGTATTAATTTAGGTAATAACTGGCTGTGTGTAAGACAGTGAAGAGCCCTAAAGAGTTAATGTTTAATTTTCAGTCTACTACTTAGCTTAGAAAGATGGAACATATTCAGAATTGATCTGCAAAGCAAAGAAAAAAATAAATTGTTTATTCCTTATAAAGCCATTCAAAATTTATCTCTGTTTGACTGTAATATACACAGCTTTTTTAAGGTTCTCTATTCTAAGAGAAGTAAATAAAGGTAAATATGCATAATACAAGTATTCCAGTGAACAAGCTAAAACAACTTGCCTCAGCACATTTCATCCATCATAAAACCTTTCTTAATGACATTTCAAATTATAGCACACAAGATTCTTAATTAGACTCAGAAATATGCAAACTGACAGTCACAAGGACAAACACATACCCTTAATAATCGATTCAGCTGCATACAGATCCCGCTTGTAGGTCACCTAAAGGACAGACAAGCCTCATTAGTTTTAACACAGCAGGAAGGAATGCAAAACCAATAAAATAATGCCCTGAAGGCAATTCTTTACATTTTAAATACCATAAACAAATGATATTGTCAATTTCTTAATTTTGGTAAAATATCACTGGCAAGTTATGAGAACAGAGGTTGCCAAAATTACTGGAAACTTGAGGAATCCTTTTTTAAATACTTAGATCTGCTTAGAACTCCTTTGAAACCTAAAACTATTTTCAATTCTCTGAAGAATCATGAACACATGATACTGCATCTATTTTCACACATTCATTCTACTCTAGTTTTATTGCAAAAAAATTTCATTTTTAATAGGACTCAAGATCATACAAATGACAACCAAGGAGCAATCTAGTTATTATTTTTACTAATATAGGCGCAATTTTTCAGTAGTGCAAGACAGTTGCTGTTAATGAGAGTCCAATTAATCAGTGGGAGTCAGTGAGACTACAAGGAGACTTTGTGTGAGCTTTCAGAGAATTAAAAACCAGCAAGATCTTCTTGAAGGTATTCATCAGATCAAGTTAGATGGACAATAAGACACTGAGTATTTACTCAGTACTTGCAAAAAACACCTTTCATACTTGCCTTTGTACCCTCATGGTGGTTGACAGTCCCAGTAAAAGGCTTTGCAAATAAAATAATGTAAAATTAAAGACAGTATCTACCCAAGACATTACCAGTCTTTGGTAGCAATGTCTTCACAATGACATGCTGTGACTTGAACTGACATAACTCTTTAATATTTGTATTTGGTTTGACTGTAACTTCCATTTATGTTAAATAAAATTTTATTGGATTTTCTGCATTTGTTTCTCTAGTCTGAACAACATTTTTCCTCAAAATGTCCTGCAGAGGATTCCAAGAGCTCTAGTGCTGCAAATTAAATCTTACAGCAGAAGGACACCGTTGTAGGTATCAGCATCTTAGTCTCCAAATAAGTGATTATTTGATTTTACCATAAAGATTCTTGTAACCACTTTCCTTTTGATCTCATAAATGAAGCTCTGTATTGTAGTTAGAAACAGACAAATAATATTACCTTCCTCATCACTTCCTCAAGGCATCATATTCTTTTAAAATTAAAAACTAACTTACTTCCATACAGTTTGTCCTGCAGAGGAAGCAGCCAGAGAACGAATCTAGCCTGAGAAATCTTATGTGTCTCAGTTTACATGTCTACTTACTGTTGGGAAGAATCAATGTCTTGAAATCAATTTTAAGGATAAGGAGTGACCAATTTTGTTGCAAAGTTTCTTTCTATTAAGTTTCTAGAGTGCTTTTACACTGAACTTTCAGTAAAGCGTAACAGATTATCAACTAAAAACCTTTCAAGAAACAAAGCTAAGGTCTATCAGAAGTGGTCTCACATACTCTTAGGTTCACAGTCTCTTTGAGGTGCAAAAGTACTTTTAAACAGTCTGATCTAAAAAAAAAAATTTAGGTACAGTCTTCAAGAAAACAGCAGAAAAGAATAAAATGCAAGAAGGAACCTTTAAAAAAATCTCCTCTGAAATTCTGAGCCAGACATCAGCAAATACTTTTTAGTGTAGCTTCCTAAAGAAATAAATCATCTGAGACCATATCCCATTCTCCATATGTATTTCTTTTATTATCTTTGATTCTATAAGCTAATTTCAGGTTAAGCTTCACGAAAACAGTAAAGTTAACAGAAAAATCCTGCCAGACAGCACAGGTGACCACCACTTACCAGTCAGAGGACAGATTCTCTACATCCCTTTCAATAATGACTAAGATGCTAAATCAAACCAAAGTTTCTCTTAACTTATGGATATTCACAATGCCTCTGGATTTTCCTGTGTTGATTAAGACATGTTTCTGCAATTTAGCTGATACTTATTAAAAAAGGCAGACAACCATGGCATATAAACCCTTTGGTTTAACTCAAACCACTGATTATTTTAGTATGAATGTGCTTCAAACAATTTAGATTAGTCAACACAACAGTTAATTGTCCTAGGCAGCTGTACTGTTTTACCTCTAGTTTCACTGAAGCGGATTTGCATTCTAGGTTCACCCCAGCTGGAAGCAATTTAGATTTAGTCAAATCAATGAGGAAGAATACTTTAATTGACACTCTATACCACAAAGTAAGTAAGGCAGCATTATCCAGTCTTCACAGGTAAGGTGCAAAACATCATGGTGGGGGGGAACAAGAAAAATGATGCATAGGATTTCTCTTTGTAGAAGACAGATTTCTACCTCATCCATTTTTGCTTTTCTTCTATCACATTATGAATCTGAATCTCTACATACTTATAAAATTTAATCTTTTTTTCATGCTCATGTCTGAAGGTTCCTTATTTATCAACAGTTGCTCAGAACTTGAGTCTGGATTTTATTACAGTATTCTAGATGCACTTGTAATATTAGAACATCTCTAATTTCATATTCTTGTTTCTATATCAATGGCTGATATAAGGTATTTTGCCCACACACAGTGGAAACTTGCTATCTTCTGTGATTCCTACACTACTTTCAAAGTCACTGCCCTCCAAGAAATATTCTCTAAATATGATCTATACTTGGTTTGTTTCTAAAAACACTCCTATATATTTGGCTGCAATGAAAAGCATACCTTTTGTTAAAACTGTTTGCTAAACAATCCTTATCAATAGGTTATTTCTGATCAATTATATTTTTATTTACAAATCTTTAAATCTTTGTCTGAAAAGTTTATCAGATGGATGTTAAAAACCTTAGACACAATAACAGTTTCTGCAGAACTGTACATGGTGAGAATTACCTTTGAAATGTATCAATTATCTAATGTGTCATCTATTTAATGAGAACTAGTAAAATTACAGTCATCCTATTATTAATTAAGATGCAATGCAGTAAGAAGTCAAACTTCTGCAAGCTGTGTGTTGTATCAGCATTACCATGTTATCAGTAAAATTATAATCTTGTAATAAAGTCTTGAAGTCAATTTCACAAAATAAGTAAATTCCATGTTGGTTGACATTAATTACATTAGTCTCTTAACTCTTTATTAATCAAGTTTTGCCCATAGAAGAACACCCTTTTTGTTTTGTTGGTCAATATCAAACTCACAGGTTTCTAACTCGGATTCTCACTCCTCATGTGACAATACTATTTTTCGTTTTTTTCCTCTTGAACATCCAATGTTCCAAGATTTTTAGAATGTTGTTGCTGCAATCCAGAATATCACTAGACCAAATACTAGAACTCAACACAAATACCTCACTGTCACAGAACATGAAAACATGACCCGCTTATTTAGCAAAGGCAGAATAGTCTTACTTATTAAACATACCTCTACTTTTCTGTATAAGAAACAATCTATTTTATCTATTTAATAAAGCCACAAAATCATGAGACAGGGTTTTTTGTTTTGTTTTGTTTTCCCATGTACCCTTCTCTCTCAATGGTCAGACTGCAAGTTTTCGCTACCTAGGAAAATGTTCTTTTAAAAGTTCCCCAAAGTTATTCCTATTCAATATTTAAGAGTCTTCTTCATACTAATTTAGCTTGATGAACACTTCAGATTTACAAAACTGCACAGTAAATGCAAAAATATAACTCTTTACTGAACAAATACAATAAAGTTATGATCACACATACACAAAATGTATTGCATTTTACCATAATGAAGTTTTTCCCCTCTCTTATACTAAGATATCATACAGATCTCCTTCGTATGGAATATTTTTGTAGGATTATAAAATAATCATGTTTTTTAGAAATGGTGAGGATTTTTCGCTCTGTCAGCACTGTCTATAAATCCGTATCAATGTTTTAAAAATCTTCTTACATTGATTTTTTCATCTGTGTTATACACACCTATATATTAGAGTCCAACAAATACATTCTGTTGATTTCATACTTAAAGAGCATATTGCCCCAGAATATTTAAGGTAATTTTGCTTCAAAGATGGCAAGCACAGAGAAACTGAAAATGTGGGGTTGATATTCTCATTCTGTTTCCTTTTTTTGCCATCCTGATCCCAATATCTTATAAATAGCTATATAATAACTACGTTTAAAATAGAACATATAAATATTTATAACGCTGAAGCAATTTGAATGTTCCTGCTTGGTTGTTGTCACTACAAAGAATTATTTTAATTTTGCAATTTGTTCCCAGAAAGTAAATACACTATGTCTTGCTTTAGCTCCAACAATGACTTTGAAATGTTGCTTTTCCTAATGTACAAGTAGACACTCCTCAGGTACAATACTCAGTACTAATTCAAGAAGACAATATATAAGCATACACAGGTTTTTCCCACAGGTTTGAGTCATTTAATGTTATGTAGGTTGTATACCTAATAAATAAACTGAATTCTTACAAATATCTGATCTTAAAGATTCCAGATCCTCATAGGATGAAACTGGTTTGTAATACTTGAACTTTAGAAACTCTCCTCCATCTATTAATTGACAACAGATTTTCAGTTACACATCCTCTGAAACCTCAACTGAACAATTCTTAGGTATTTCAGTTCTTATTTATTCGGATGGAATATCCTTTTGCCTCATGTTGAAAAAATAAGACTGAGGCCATTGGGAGCACATCAGTTCTTGGCATATGAAATATCATTTATCTTAGCACTGAAAAACCTAACAGAAAAAAAACAAACATATATTACAAATTATGTTATTACACAGCTAAGGGAAGACAGTTGTGTTTCTGAAACGTGATTAGTAACAAAGAGCAACAGTTCCTAACCATTTTGTAGGCAAGGACCATTTGAGAAAAGTGGTAGTCTTGTGCACTTTGTCAAACTGCACAGACTGAGCACAACTGTTCTCTTCCTTAATGATACTGCTTCAAGTCACCTGCCAAACACCTCGGTACAGAGTGACCAACACCTGGGTGCTATTCAAAAAGAAGAAGCTATCTTCCTCCATAGTCTCTAATCTGATAGAAGTATTTTCTGCAGAAACAATCTAATATTTCACAGATCTCATTTTTGTGCCTTTGACTTTTAATGTCTCCACAAGCAGCAGAAGACACCAGTGACTTTTAGCTACAAAATGAGAGATGGAATAGGTTATTAAAAGGTACAGATAACTTTAATGACACAGCACCAGCATCTTTGTGCATATCGTATATGGCATATTCACTGCTCTGCACCACCTGCAGCACAGGATCTGCACAGAAATGGGTGCCCTTGCTACTGTCACACTCTGAACGATACTATCAGCACTGAGACTCTTTGGTGGGTGACCTTGGTTGGATGCCAGGTGTCCATCAAAGCCACTCGGTCACTCCCCTCTTCAATTGGATAGGGGAGAGAAAAATCAAACACAAAGAAGAACGAGAGGAAGCCCAGCAGAGGGGTGCTAAGATGGTGTGAGAGAACTTGGGTTGTTCGGCCCAAAGAACAGAAGAGGAAGGGTGGGGAAGGACCACAGAGAACTAAATGAACATTATAAAGAACTAAGTGAACATTATTGGTGTATCTTGTTATCCTTCATGTAAGTACCATGCCTTACAATGAGAACAATGAAATCACCCAAAAAAATTATGTCATGTAAATATGCACGACATAATCTGTCCCTTAGAAGAATAAATAGGAAAAGAGACCATATACTCTTTCAGAAAGACTATGTCCCAGCAAGAGATGGAAAGAAGTTTATGTATGCAACCAATGCACAAGTAAATTTTGCTGTTAAATTGCACAGGAAATTTGCATTGCAGACTCAGGAAATTACCTTTCTTTGTAAGATTTATGGTCATACTATTAGAAATCATGTCCCTTTGGAGGAAATTTACCGTCAAAGATAGATGGAGTGATTTGAGCTGCTTCCAGATCCTTCAACGTGCTAATGAATAAAATAAAATAAACTCTTAAAAATTGCATGACACAACAGCTACTGAGAAAGAATAATGTCCCACCATTCAAAACAATGAAATGCAATACTTTCAAGCAGCAGGGATGTATACTTTGGCACCTTTACAGACACCTCCTTTGTTAGTCATCAAGAACCTACAGATTACCAGACAAGGTGAATGATGTTTAAAAATTTTTAGAAGATTTTTTCAAGAGATCTTAAATATTACACTGTTACTGAATGTAATGAACTGCTCTAAAAATCAAATCGGTGACAGCCAGGTATTTGGCATCAGAGAAAGAGTGATATCCTCACACGAAAAGTTGAGAAAAATAGACAAAAGTTATAGAAATAGCAGAAGAAAGCTCATACCATAAAAGAAAGTCCTTAGTTTTAGAGATTATGGATTTATAGTTTTACAGATTTTCAGGTTATTCAAGTACCTAGTTGGTTTTCCTACTTAGAGAAAAATACTGTCTTCATTGATTATCTCTAGTAACATCTGCCCAAGTCTGTCTACAAAAACAAGTTCTAAAAAGGGGTCATGATGATACAAAACCAGTTATAAAATTTGAAAGAGAAAAGCCTAACTTACAATTGAAAACACATCTGAATTTTTATGATAATGTGCAAATTTTATTAATTTTAAATGATATATAAAAACTAGATATTATTGCCTTTACCTTCCAGAGGTCAGCTGTTCCTTCAACAAGTTTGGCATTTGTTTTACAGTATTTCAGAGCCAGATGCAAACATTCAGTTCCATAATCCAGGTCATAGTCTGTACACTGTAGTAATTAAAAAAGAAAATACATCCTTAATTAGCCTTAAAGAAATCATACTTTTAAGCAGCAACAGATTTGCTTTCATTAATTAAAGCTTACATCTCAATAGTCCTATCCAGAATAATACAACTGTATTAGTTAGGTAGATTCAGAATGGACGAGAAATCAAAAACTGTTCCAAGAAGCTTATGCCAAATTGTAGGTATCCAGCAGTGTTACATAAGTAAATAAACATTTTATAAGCACAGATGAATTCAATTAGGTGCTGCAAGTATCTTGCTAAACCTTTACATTGTTAACTAAATGAATGAGAAGTTACATGTATAAAAAAAATTTTTGATGGAGTTGAGAGAGGCTTCATCAAAAGACATCATTGACCTTCCAGTGACAAACCTTTAGAGTATGGAAACAAGTTAATAAACTCATGACTCTTCAAATTCCGTGTCTGTGTTGGTTGCTGCATCATCCAAAAAGGATGGTAGTAACTATGAACCTCTGTATTCTTTATGTGATTCCCTCTATCTTTTTCTCCAGTTACCTGCACAAAAATAGCAAAGTCTCATGGTGCCTCACAAGCCTTGCAGGAAAAAAAAACCAAAAACAAAGAACAAAAAAAACACCAGACAAAAAAAAGTTTGTCCACTTTTCACTCACCTAGAAAAGACATTATTCTCTCAACACCCCTTCCCAAGCAGTTCAGCTTCCTATAAGTAGTGATTATAAGAATCCTATTAATGAAAAAACTGAGTAGGGAGCAGAATTTCCTGAGCCAAAACATAGGTAGAAAAGCAGGAACAGTATCCAGTCTATATTAAAGAGTGAATAGCCAACAGTAAGAACAAGGCAATCATATCTTCTTACTTTCCCAGAATACTCCCTTGGCCTCATATAAAGCTATTATTCTGGCTTCGGAAATCCCTAAAATAAAAACTCCCTGAGGGACACACTGAACCAGAAGTGACTGCCTTAACAGTATTCAGTGAATTACAGGAACCCTGAATTCACCCAATTATTTTTTGAATAGTAGTATTTTTTAGCAGCTGCATCAGGGCACATCTGATTCATCACTCTTTTCATCACATGCTCTGTTGTTCTCACTGAAAAGGGAGTGCAAAACCACCTTCTCAGCCCTTCAAAGTGCTCCACCACATCTCTTCTCACATCTTCCCACAAATAAGTCATGTCGCGTTTGGAAGTTTTACAAAACTTCGTAAAGGAGGGCAAAACAGTTGATCATTTATCTGCACTTACCTATGAATTTTACCATAACATTCTTCTAAAAACCTTCTTAGTCAGCCCTCATCTCTACTACACAGAAAAAAAATGTGTAACTCCACTTCCTGTTCCAAATTATTTATGAACAAAATAACAGCGCAAGTCTCAACACAGGCCATCATGAAACTCCACTAGTGGTTTACTGCTAAGAGAACTGGTCATGCACTTTACCTTGTTTCTTATCTTCTAACAATACTCTGGTAAATACTTACTCTTATCCCAAATCTTTTAAGTTTCCTTAAAGAGTCTTTAGTAAAAGCTTCTGTGGAACATCTTGTTATGCAAGTAGGTTGTTATCAGCTTCAGCAACCTCAAACAAGATGTCAGTTAACTCCTTAGAGAATGACAACTAGCTCTGCAATACATAAGCTTTCCTTTACAAAAGCTGAAATAACCTTCCACTGTGTCAAATTTAACCATGTGTCTGCAAATTCATGTTTCGAAGATACCAGTAATTTTCAGTCTCCTCCAGGATTCAAGAAATCAAAATTGTCAAGAATGTAAAAATCTGAGTTAAAGAAGAACCAAACGAGAGTGCTTCAATACAACTTGACTTCTTTATTAATTTCCTCAAGAAGTTTAATAAAGCAGATGAAGGATACATTTTTAGTTTCTATTCTTGTTTTATAGTGCATCAGTGATATTCAAGGAATTCATTGGCATGACACGTCTGTATTGTATTACTAACACACATAGATATCTTACAAAAATCATAGCTATCACTTTTACATTATTTAAATTAGTAATTTTTGTCATTTTAGTTTGTCAGCCCACTTAGAAAAGCAATTTAAATGTTACAGTTCTCTACAGTAGTCTTTAATCACTTTGAGTTACAAAACAAGAGACACAAGACGACAGAATAACTTAGAAAGGGGTTTCATAAAGACACTTTGGAATATTTTTAAATTATGCAGAAATTACCTATAGTCTTTAAATAAACAAGATACAAAAAAGTTCAACAGAAAATATAAAGGAATAGGGAACTCTAGCTCCAAAATATATAAATTGCAGTAATCCCTCAAGTAAAGAGGTCCAGAGATAAAGTGCCACCAAACCCAGAAATGACCTAGTAATTCTCAATTCCAAATATTTATTACCAAAATTGCTCCTTTTTTTTGGTTTTATTTTTAAGGAAAATTTTCTGGTACAACAGAAACTGTTTTCTACTAATGTGAATAACATACAGATTAAAAAAAACCCTATATATTTTTACTTTGCTTCAGAATGGAAGAAAAAAAACTCGGAAAAAATTAGCTTGAAGGAATTTACTTTTCAATAAAATTAAGTTACATCTTTTTAATATATCAGTAATGAATGCAACTAGGACAAAACTAAGCAATTCCAACTTTTTGGCAAGGTATTAATTACAGTTAATTAGTTGGGAGTGGAGAAATTCCATAAATGGGCTAAAGCATCTTGAGGGTATTGCTGGCTTCAAGGGATGAAATACGACACAAAGCAAAGTAATAATTAAAACCATATTTCACTAACACTTGTATATCATGACATTTACCACTCTTATTATCTGTAATTGTTTCAACCTAAACACATTGTCACAGTGTACTGTTCTGCAAGTCTGATACGCTGATGTCAGAAGAGAACAATGAAATGAAGTATCAGCACAAGACTAGCTTAATTTATATACTATGCATATGCTAAACAGCTTCATAAGTGAAATTTTAAATCCATATTTAAAGTGCACAATTCAAAATCTATGTTGCTCTAAGAAATTCAGTTAACAAATTATGCATTATTAGGGAGGACCTATAAAAATAAGTTGTGCATTCAGGCACAGCATCATCAGCCAGTCAAGGGAGGTGACTGTCCCTCTCTGCTCAGCATTGGTGTGGCCTCACCTTGAGTGCTGTGTGCAGTTTTGAGCACCACAATGTAAGAAAGACACAAAGTGCTGAAAGGAGGGATACAAAGATAGTGAAGGGCCCAGGGGGAGGCCATATGAGGACCTGAGGTCACTTGTCTTGTTTAAACTGGAGAAAAGAAGCCTGAGGGGAAACCTCATTGCAGTCTACAACTTCCTCATGAGGGGAAGCAGAGGCGCAGGCACTGATCTCTTCTCTTTGTGACCGCTGACAAGACTCAAGGAAATGGCATGAAGCTGCGTCAGGGGAGGTTTAAGTGGGATATTAGGAAAAGGTTTTTCACCCAGAGGGAAGGAACAGGCTCCTCAGGGAAGTGGTCACAACACTAAGCCTGACAGAGTTCCAGAAGCATTTGGACACACTCTTGGGCATATGGTGTGATTCTTGGGGTTGTCCTGTGCAGGGCCAGGAGAAGGACTCAGTGACCCTTGTGGTTCACTTTCGACTCAGGATATTCTATGATTCTACAAAAATCTGTGAGGAAAATTCTTACTGACCCAGGTGTGCCACCATTCTCATCCTAAGTCTTCTGTATGTATTTTAGCGTACATCTAGAGTCAATTTACAATACAAAAATCTGTTTAAAACTCCTACTATTTCTAAAGTCTCTTTATGACTGAAAGCCTTTTTAACATAAAGTTTGACAGTGTACAGTTAACTGAGCTTGACATGCACACACAGCTTTGTGAAACAATAGAAATAGTTTAAGTTTCAGACCACAGATTTGAAATTGTGGAAACAGCTGGAAATACTGGCACAAAACATATTCACAAAAGAAAGAAAACATATTAGTTTAGCTCTTTAAATGACACAGAAGAAAATATGTTACTTAAAAATGCTTTTGTACTGTAGAATATTCAAAGACATTCTAATAGGTGTTTTTGGGAGACTTTTTTGTGGGTGTCTTTTTTGTTTATTTGTTTTCCAAGAGTGGTTGTTTGAATAAAATACTATGGGTGGAGAGAGATCCAGAATTTTAGCATTACACCAATTCTTCTTCCTCTTCCCCCCAAATTAGTTTGAGAATATTTTGAAAAATACAACTTCTTCCTAAAATGCAAGGTATACTGTTGTCGCCTAGAGATGTGAACATGGAACAAGGGGTTAGAGAAAAGAGCAGCTACACAACCTGTGTGTCCCTGGTACTAATACTCCATATGCTCATTTGTTTCCAATACTCTGAACTCTACTTTATTGTATCTTTATACTGATAAAAATTTTGAATGGATATATGGAAACCAGTGACAGAACCCGAGGGAATGGCCTGTAGTTGTGTCAGGGGAGGTTCAGGTTGGATATTAGAAAGATTCTTCACCCAGAGGGTGGTTGAGTGCTGGAAGGTGGTTGGCTCCCCAGGGAAGTGGTCACAGCACCAAGTCTCAGAGAGTTCAAGAAGTGTTTGGCAGTACTCTCAGGCACATGGTGTGACTCCTGGGGATGGTCCTGTGTAGGGATAAGGGTTGGAGTTGATGATCCTTGTGGTTCCCTTCCAACTCAGCAGATTCTGTGATTCTGTAGTAACCATACAACAGAACAAGCATGGATGAAAAAAAAGTCATTACAGCACTATCAGTCTCTTATCTTTTCATCATTCCTTAGTTTATAAAAAAAGGATGCAAAATCAGTATTCTTTATGCATTAACTGAAAGAAAATCTTCGGATTTGCTCCTTTACACAGGTATCATTAAAGCCTGTGTAGAGTCGGTATTTATACTTCGGTAACGATTGACTGACTCATCTTTAGCACTTTTTCCACTGTCAGCAGAGTCTCCGTTTTACTCTCCCATGGAAATCTATTCAATAACAATATCAGAACACTTGCACTTCAAGTGCATAACTAATTAACAA